TTCCTCTGTTTCATTTTATATGATATTTAAGTTTATTGCACATAGATTTAGAAGTCATTTAATATTTTAATTTTTCAATACAAAATATGTTTTATCATCAATTCCAAAATAATTCAACCAATAAAAAAATAATCTGCAGAATTTAAACAGTCAAAACAAAAAAACACAATTAATTTTTGTATAAAAATCTAAAAACATAAAATTTTGTATTTTTTTCTAAAACATGATATATAATAATGAAACAGAGGGAGTAGGATTCTCTAATATTAGCATAATAATACAAAAATACCTGTCATTTGACCATAAAGAACCAAACGCATTATTTTAATAGAGAAAGTAAAACTAAGAAAATCAGAGAATATATCTCTTCCAAGAATTTTCCTTTTTCTTTGCATATACAAATGCCTTAATATGGTTATTGGTTATTTAAAGAATCATTAATTTAATATTAATTTAACCCCATACACATAAATATTGCAAAAAACAGCTGGAATTTGACTGTTTCGGAAATTCCCACTTCACATGCTTCATCCATCTCTCAACACCTTCCTAATTTCCTTTTTATTTCTCTTCTAAATATTCATTTATTACTCTCTTTAATTAATTTTTATAATAACTAATTAAACCTTTTTTAATTAATAATTAAGTGTTTTTTTTTTTAATTTCTCTCACTGAGAAGAACTCTATAAAACCCCTCCACAAATCCCTAATTTACCTCTTCCCCTTTCGCTCTCGAACAAATCCACCACTCTCTTCTTCTTCATCGTCTTCTCAAAATTTTCTTTCTTCGATTTTCTCGAGAAAGTGTGTTTTTTTTATATATATAAACAAAAAAAAATTGATGTTGCGAGAATCTGGATCTTGATTGATGTTAAAACATTCATGTCTCCGGTGATTAGTGAAATCCTTAGATCTGGGTTAACTATAGACTCGTCTCTTAGACGCAGGACCCATCTTGTTCAATCTTTCTCCGTCGTCTTCCTTTACTGGTTCTATGTCTTCTCATAAATCTCCTCTCCAAATTTAGCCTTATCAATATATAATATTATAATAAATTTGGGTCC